TTTGGAAGGCTTAGAGTCACAAGTGTCACTCCTCTAATGGCTTACAAACACCAAGAGCAAATGGAGAAGTTATAAAGAGAGAGGAGAGGTATAAGAATTCGTCTCTAGGACTTCTTGGGAAGGGATACACGAATTCATGAGCCTTAGGGGGTTTATATAGGTGTAAAGATTAGGGTTTTAGTCCTTATCCTTATCTAGTTGCTTGCCCACCAAGTAACCATAAGATAAGTCTTAGAAACCCTTATCCTAGTCGAATTCTAAGGCATTGTCTCCTTAAATTCGTTCACCCTATATTTAAGATAATCCTTACCTTATTTTGTAACTATCACATAATTACAATTCAGCCCCTCTAGTTTAATTAATTACACTTGATCACAAAATTAATTCTTAATTAATTATTGACCAATATTAATTAAACAAATATGATTTCTCCTTTAATATATTATTCTTATAACATATTAATAAATCATAATAACCTCTCTCTCTATTTATTTCTCCAATCAAGTTGCTTTGGTGAAGGCAACCCAAAAGGAACATGCACCATCGGGTCAAGTACATATTAATATTAATCCAATAGTACTGATGGGTTTTGGTCATAAGACATCCTATGTGCTCATACAAACCCTAAATCTTGGATCTAGGTTTCTCTATTGTACATGCTTTGAATCCAAGACTATAAACCCTAATTCTAGCATATGGAAATCGATATTAACATATAATTAGGTTTTAAGATATTACCTTGATTGTTATGTAGCAATAACAATCCTAATTCCTCCTTGAATTGACTTTGGAATGCTTAGAGTCACAAGTGTCACTCCTCTAATGGCTTACAAACACCAAGAGCAAATGGAGAAGGTATAAAGAGAGAGGAGAGAGGTAGGAATTCGTCCTTAGGACTTCTTGGGAAGGCTTAGACAAATTCATGAGCCTTAGGGGGTTTATATGGGTGTAAAGATTAGTGTTTTAGTCCTTATCCTTATCTAGTTGCTTGCCCACCAAGTAACCGTAAGATAAGTCTTAGAAACCCTTATCCTAGTCGAATTCTAAGGCATTATCTCCTTAAATTCGTTCACCCTATATTTAAGATAATCCTTACCTTATTTTGTAACTATCACATAATTACAAATCAGCCCCTTTAGTTTAATTAATTACACTTGATCACAAAATTAATTCCTAATCCTAGTAGTCCCATGGTTTTACTCTCCTTTCTAGAGAGGTTTCCACGCTAAAATTCCGGTGTCGTTATTGGTTGATTACTTATAGTTTTGGGTTGATTATATTGATCATATAACTTGCATTGGGGTTGTTTTGTTGCAAGTAAAAATATCTTATTTGTTTGCATCCTAAAAGGTTCATTCAAGACGGGAATAGTTTAGTCAAACGAAGTATTATTCTGCATTGTTGTTTACCGTTGTGGATGAGTTTTTCCCATCAACTGCTTCTACAACTGAAATCTATCCACCTATACTCTTCAACATGATTAGCAATCTATTTTAAATAGATGATTGGCTGCAATTTGAACAGATTTAAACGGGTTTATGTAATACACATTTGATAAAATGGGTAAATTGATTCTTAGGAGAAAGCAATTAAAAAGAAAAAGGTACTTCGGGAAATAAAAAGACAAAACTGCAAAAATGGTTCCTATGGTATGCATTTTTTGGGGGTTTTAGTCCAAACCACGACTTTTTTGGATTGGTGGTCCTTTTAGCTATGTTTGTACGTAGATTTAGTCTCTCGTAAAATTGAAATGACTATAATTCCCTTCTAATATATATTTATTTATTTTTTTCTATTTAATTTAAATGAAAAAGAAAATAAATAATTAATTTGGGCACACCTCTCTCTATCTCTCTTTCTCTTTCTCTTTCTCTCTCTCTCTCTCTCTCTCTCTCTCTCTCTCCACCTACTCCTTCTCTATTTTTCTTTCCTCCATTCAGAGTACCTTTAACCCAAAATCAAAAAAGAAAATATGAGTGTTATTGAACCACCGAAGGATCTCCGATTGCCACCCAACCCTTTGTCGTCACCATCTTTTCCACTGCCACCATTGGCGTTATTGCAGGCCATGGCAGATTGGTAGGCACGACGATGGCTCCGTGTTCTTCTTTCTCTAGAGGTCTCTCTCTTTCTCCTTCGTTCATACCCTCTTTATCCCTCTCGATTCTCTTGTAGCTCTCTCGGATTAAGCTTTCTTGTTGATTAAACTCACCTCTACAGATGTAATAATAACACAGAGATCAATTTACAAGAGATGAAACAAAGGAAGCTGATGGATCGTGCATTAAAAACCCCAGATTCCATTACTCTAACAAATGAAGAATATAGTGGGTTTGGGGGGTTGAGGACGATAACAGAGAAGAGGGAAGAAGTGGGTTATCTGGCTCGAGAGATCAACAAAAGTCATGTGATCCTTAACCTAAAATACCTTTTACCTTTGCCTTAAATCTCTATATTAATGAAGAGCTGGAGAAGGGGATTCGAGGAGAAAGAAAGAACTGAGAAATAGAGGATTTGATAGGTAGATTTGAAAGAGAAAACTCAAAGATTTCCGATCACCATCTCCGGTGACCGAAGATATCGAGCAAACGCTCGAGAGATACATAGACCAACGTTATGGAGAAGACCGAGAAAAAAGGAGAAGAAATCGAAGGGAAGGAAGTTGACATCGTCATTTTGGGTCGTTGATTAGAGCTCTCATCGGAATCTATGGAAGAGAGAGAGAGAGAGAGAGAGAGAGAGAGGTGGGGTGGATAAGTGGGCTCACTTTTATATTTAATAATAATATTATTATTAAAAAGTGAAAGAAAAATAAAAAAATAAAATCATTAAAAGTATAATAGTCTTTTTAGTTTGGATAGGGATCAAAAATGCAAACAAACTAGCTCAAAAAACCTACCAATAAAAAAAAATCGGGTTTGGATTAAAATCCCAAAATTTTTTTGCAATTTTGTCAAATAAAAATACACGTTTTGAAAGAATGGAATTCTTAATGACTCCTTCCTTTCGATTTAACAGAAACAGACAACATTTTCTGATCAGGACGGATTAATGCTTTCCATTCCTCACCGCGTACCAAACAGCACCCTAACAATTCACAATCAGCTTGGACTTCTGACGCTTTCTCAGAAGTGGGAAGGATATGGGGGAGGTGCTTGAAAAAGAAGATTGTCAACCGGAGAAAAGTAACAAAGCCGTTGGAAATCTAGGCATCGCAACTTCTTTCAGTAACTGGATTCAAGAAACCATCAATGTCTTAGTGGATGGGGAGAAATTTGTGATCAGAGTAGTGGAGAAAGCGGTAGACTCCTTTGAATGGGCGCCTATTTTTGCCCAAAGTGAAATCTCTGGAGAAAATTACGATGACGGATATTGGGAGGAAGAGAATTTTCCGGTAGAAACTCCGGCGACATCGTCATCTAATCCGCTGAACAACGACCTGGTCAGCGACAACAACTCAGTGGGAAACAAAAATCGAGCATTGTACACTGCAGGAGATGTTGACGACTTTCGCCTGCCATAGAAAAAGCTCAACGCATGGGGTCTAACGATCATGGACCCTCCAAGCCCAATTATTCCTCAAATAAGCCCACCTCGCCTAAAAGATCATATTACCATAGTTCGGTCTCTATTGGGCCTGCTTCCTTATTCTTCGGTAATAGCCCAATCAGCTTAAATCCACCAAGTAGACCTGCACATTGCGGTCCCGTGCCGGTATTGGGTTGGTATCGAAACGTTCTAGTCTTTTTGTGGTCGGTCTCGGAGCGGTCTTTTTTGGTCCGGTCTTTTTTCAGATCGATATTTTTCGATCAAATCTTTTTTGGGACCAGTCTCGGATTTAGAACAGATTTAGATGTAGACACATGTACCTATCAGGTGGGGTTAAAGATAATATGTTCCTCACGGATAGGGACAATACTGCCCTCTCAGACTCTAAACAAAATCAGTAGTGCTAATTGAAAAATAAAAAATGGGCTTCATGCTACTAAGATAGATCTTACTGCTGATAATAACAGGAAACACCATATAACCATATCCAAAGAAATTATCTGGATCACTGAAGTTGGAGCCAACTTCGGGATCGATTTAAGGAATTTTGAGGACATGGTCAAAGATGTTTGATTAAGAAAGGTGCCACAAGTAATCCATGAATAGTGTTTGGGTGTTCATAAAAAAACTCTTTATTGACTTATTGATTTCTTGAAAAATCAATAAATAAAAAAAATGTTTAGATACCTAATAAAAACTTTTACAACTCCTTTTGTTTAGCATTTTAAAAAAAGTTTTCAAAAAGTGGCAAATTGTGACTTTTTGAACTGACTAACTTATTATGATATATATATATATATATATATATATATATATATATATATATATATATATATATATATAAAGCAAAACAAAATAGAAGACAATTTTAAGTCAAACACTTTTTAACTTATTTACTTATTGACTTTTGCCATTAAAAAGTTTTTTTTTTTTTTTTTTTTTTTTTTTTGAAAAAACTCAATTTTCAACCTTCATAAGTCAATAAGTCTTTTTTTTTTTTTTGTCAAAAGTCATTTTCAAGTTCAAAATGAAATATCAAAACACCCTCTAAATGTCTCTCAATTAACATTAATGGGGTAGGAAAGGATGTAAAAAGGAACTAGATCTAAGACTTAGTCGATATTTACGAGATCAACTATTTGTGCATCCATGAAACCAAAGCAGAAATCATAAATGGTTCATGTCTCCATTCTTTTTTGGGGAAATATACATTTTCAGGGGCTGTTTGGCAGGATCTGAATTTTTAAGAGATCTGAATTTCTAAGAGGGTCTGAACTTTTAAGATCTGAATTTTTAACGTGCTGTTTGGTTGGAACTTCTTAATTGTTGTGCTGAATTATAAAAATGACCATTTTACCCTTCTGTATTACTTTTTGTTGAATTCATTATTTTTGTTTATAAAATAACGAACTAACTTCTTGAATAATCATAAAAAAAATATATACAAACACTATATAAAATGCAAATTAAACTTAAATCAAAATTAGACACAAGTCTATCAACTATAGCAATCAAAATTGCTTTGTTTTGGATAACATTGCTATAACAAAATAGAATCACATTACTATAAATCAATAAAAGTATATTACTATAAACACACTCTTAAACAAGCTTACAAAAATAACCTGAGCTATATGCTTATATGCTTACATTACATGTATACAACCATGTTTTTGTGTGTTCCACATGAGTGATATCTCCATAACCTTCAAATATACACCAGGGACAAAAATGTCAATGAAGATTCACAATATGTTTGACTCTACATCAGTTTGATTTTTCTTCTCCAACTCCACCATTATCATTTGAAGTCATTGCAATATAGTCCCGATATCTTTTCAACTATTGATTGCTCTTGGAAGGGGATTATCTTCCTTAAATAACAAGAGCAATGATGGTAACGATGAATAACCATGGATAACTAGCTTCTAATTTCAAATACAGGAGAACTACTCAAGTTTATGAGGAAAAAAACTGATCAAACTGCAAACGAACACAAATCTACCTATGATAAATAATGGAGCTGACTTTAAATCTTCAATACCATCAGATGAAAAAAGATTAATACCGAAAACAGCATCATAATAAAAAACATAAAAGCCCAGCAACAAGAGCACATCGAGAACCATTATTTGATGCACAAACAGGTTTCAGAAATAAACCCTAGAAATCGATTTCAGAAATTAACCCTATAATCGATTTTAGATAGACAAATAGGTTTCAGAGAGCTATTACCTGATGTCGCTGTCGACGAGTTTGAGGGGGTGGAGGGCGGCGCAAGCGACAGCTCTGGTAGAGGTTGAGGCGGTGACCGGACGGTGGTTAAAGCAATAGCGGAGGGTAGCAGGTCATCGAAGATTGTTGGGAAGGGTATTCTGGGAACCCTCCTTCCTCGAAATGGATTCAATTCACAAATATAGATGGTTCCTAGTGGTTACATGAACTTGGAAATCCATTAAATATCCATATGCTTTAGTGAATATTTATGCCCATTAGGTATGTAGGAAATCTTTACTTTGGGATCAGTTATCTTCTATGATTTTGATTGCCCAAAAAAATTGGATCTTATGTGGCCACTTCAATAAAGTTCGAAACATTAACGAACGGAAATGTTCATACTTCTTAGCACGAGGTGCTCACATTTTCAACTCATTCATCTCGTCTTCGGGTCTTGTGGAGCTAAATCTTGGATGAAGGAAATATACTCGGATGACTACAGATACTTGCAAAATTTAGTAAATTGGATAGGTTCTTAGTCTTAAATAAGTTCTATCATTTTTGGCCCAACTCGTCTACCCTAGCCTTGATGCGACTATACTCCGACCCCTATCCAGTTTTACTTGACTCGAATAGCCCGAATTTCGATCCTCTATCATTCCTTTTTTTTTCCCCTCTTGGCTCCAATACGACGAGTTAGCTGTAGTGGTCAGGGATTCTTGGGTCAATACGCGTCCCAGTTTGATAGTTTTTTCTAGAGTTGAAAAAAATCTCTCGAAAGCTTAAAGTGCTTAAAAATGAAATTAAAAGTTGGCATATTTATATCAAAAACTTCAATATAGACAAAATTGTTACTCTCAAAACCAAAGTGGTCGCTTTGGATGTCTTGGCTGAAAGCCAAATGCCGATTTTATCAAGGAAAGAAATGATACTATATTAAAAATTCAAGACATTAAAAAATATAAGATACTTGACATTAAACAAAAAACAAGGTGCAAGTGGGGGTTTGAAGGGGACGAGAATACAAGTTTTTTTCAAGGGCTTGTTAATATGAATCTCAAACGTTCCTGCAACCATGGTTTGAACATCAGTCGAGTTTGGGTTGCCAATCCAGTCAAAATCAAACGTGAGATTTACACTTTCTTTAAGCTTAAGTTTAAAGAGTTGCATCATCATAGACAACATCTCAGGAGCAATAAATTTTGGGTTCTTTCTTACAATGATCGTAACGGTGTGGAGGCGCATTCACTACCGATGAAATAAAAGAAGAAATATGGGGTTGTGGGAATGATGAATGTCGTAGGGGATTATTTTGTGTTTGTGAGGTTTGTGGTTTGAATCCCGGCCACACGCCTATACCTTTTTCTTACCTAAACCTGCTTGATTTTTTAAGTAATTAGAGGCACTTTATATTATATAAATTAGTTTACAGATCTTATACAAAATTGCAATAGAGTTCAACGAAAGGGTAATTTCCCTCTATCATTGTCAACATTACACGTCATCTGCCACACAAGCTTTCAAGATGGCAAGGTCACCGACAAATATTTGATTGGCCATTTGACTTGATAAAAAAGACAAATTTGACAGAAGTCTGTTAGATATTAATATTAGGGATTAATAAACATAAATTTAGAGTTAGGGTAAAACACAAACTGTTATTATTTATCAAACTTAAGGAGTTTTGTGGCAATACCCCTTAAAGGAAGAAGAGTTTTAAAACGTGGTTTCAAATAACCTATTTTTGGCTCAATGGTGACCGAAGAGAGTATGTAGTATGTAGTGACATAAGGTCTTATGTTAGATTTCAAGTAGTTGTCAACTTTAAATGTTGCCAATATTTCTTGTTTGTTAAACTCGTACTAAGACCTACATTTAATCACCAATGATGAAAGAGTAAAGTTGTGGAAAAAGAATAATAGAGGGAGGGGTGGGTGGTGGAGGAGATGTTGGTGTCCATTTTATTTTTATTTTTGTTTTAATTACAAGGTAAATCTTCAGAAAAATCATAATATTTTAGTCAAATTTATGAAAAAGTCCCAAAATAATTTTTGTTTTACATAAAATCACAAAATACCTGCTAAAACTTCGAAAAAACTCTTTTCAACTAGTTTCACAGATTTAGTTAGTATTCTGTCCCTTTTAATTAGTTGGATCAAAATTTTAGTACTTTTCAGAAAATTATCCAATAACTAAAATCTTGGAACTTTTCTAAAAATTACCATTAAATTAATAGATATCATTATTAGCAAATAATTCATTAACATAACAAATATTTTTATTATAAACAAAAGAAATATATTTGTTGTTAATTTCTAGGAATAACGTGGTGGACTAAGCACTTCTTTATTGCTTGTTGGTCACTTTAAACTTTCTACGTTCCTCCTAAGCATCGTTGTGGGAATGATGGTGAGATGTACTCATTGAGTGTTCTTTTAATGTTAATGTTCCTATTATGTTGTTAAACCTAACTACCACAACATCTATACATCACATGGTAACAACCATCGGCTAACACACATCCATCGAATGTGAAAAAGTGAACCGTGAATGACAATTTATATGAAAACAAATGAAGGATGATTATCTATTTAAATTGTCATTAAAAGTTTACTTTTCAATCTCGATAGATGTGTATAACTCGATGGTTGCCATTAGATAATATATGGAAGTTACGTGGTAGTTAATACTTTTGGGCATTCCGTCTAAAATTTTATATTTGACATAAAAAACACACAAAAATGTTACGAGGTAAAGGACGCCGTTGATGTATTTTTAGTTTTGACACTGTACTTTACCTTGTATCGTTTCCCCACTTAGCCTATCCAAGTCGATTGCAGGAGCTTTCAAACCCACCCCCAAACTTCGCCCCGTCTCTCTAGCTCAGCTGGAGGAACTAGGAAGGCTCCATCTCTTTCAACCCTTTAAATCAAGAAAGAATCGTCGATTAAACACTTCGAATCTAGAAAACCAGAAACGATTTAAGTGTTCACAACTTCAAGATCTCTTCTCAAACCCCAAAAGGTAACATCTTTTTGCAATCTTGAAATTATATACGTATACCCTTCAATCCTGTTCTCAATCTTCAAGATCTACTATTATCGAAGTTTTTAGATTTTTCCCCGTTTCTATTTCTGGTTTGAGCTTGAAATTAGGGTTTTCGTTTTTTTTTTTTTCTGGGTATTGCAGATCCAGCTGGAAAATTGTCGATTTAATATGTCTATTTTACTGCCCAAAAGCGATTCCGTTGAAATCAGGGAGGTATGGGATTATAATCTTGAAGAAGAGTTTGCTTTGATTCGAGAGATTGTTGATGATTACCCTTATATTGCAATGGATACTGAATTCCCTGGTGTTGTGCTTCGCCCTTTGGCACAATTCAAGAATATAAATGACTACAACTATCACACCTTAAAGGATAATGTTGATATGTTGAAATTGATTCAATTGGGTTTAACATTTTCAGATGAAGATGGAAATCTTCCCACTTGTGGGACTGAAAAACACTGCATTTGGCAGTTCAATTTCAGGGAATTTAACGTTAATGAAGACATCTTTGCAAACGATTCCATTGAGATGTTGAAACTCTGTGGGATTGATTTCCAAAAGAATACAGAAGAGGGTATTGATGCAAATCGATTTGGGGAGCTTTTAATGTCATCTGGGATTGTTTTGAATGGTAATGTTTGTTGGGTGACTTTTCATAGTGGGTATGATTTCGGGTATCTGCTTAAGTTATTGACACGAAAGGAATTGCCTGAATCTCAAATGGGGTTCTTTAATTTGATCAGGATTTACTTCCCAATCATTTATGATATCAAACATTTAATGAGGTTTTGCAATCATCTTCATGGTGGTTTGAATAAACTTGCAGAGATCTTGGAAGTTAAAAGAATCGGTGTTTGTCATCAAGCAGGATCCGATAGTTTGCTTACTTCTCATGCTTTCAAGAAATTGAAAGAAAGTTACTTTAATGGATCCACTGAGAAGTATGCTGGTGTTTTATATGGTTTAGGTGTGGAAACGGAGGTTCAAAATTATTAAAATTTAAGTTTTGTTTTCGGTTAAAAATGTTGCATCTTTAGATGTGTTTGATCATGTTTGAGTACTGTATATTAGTGTTCAATAACAAGCTTTAAGATTTCAATATATATGGTCCCACCTTTGTGTTTCTTGTTTAAATTGTTTGTATGAACAGTTTTGAATCATTGATGTAGAAAGATATACGGGGTATAATATTTTTAGGCATATGAAGTGAAATATTGCATTTTTTTTAAATAATTTCAATTCATAATCAGCTATAAAACACAATAAAAAGCTGAAAAATGATAATGTTACGAATAACATATACGAATCAAGTTTTGTGTACAAGATGCAAAACAGCCTCCATTGATGTTTAATTTCTGCTCCAAGAATGAATCTTCCCTTTGTAATGAAAATGTTCTACATGAAAATATACCACACAATGAGCATCTTGATGTAAGAGTCGTCAAATGGTGTAGAGAGATAGAAACAATCTAATAATGGATTAAATCTATATAAAAACCACAAGAACTGAACTTGTTGCAACTGTTTATTAGAATGCAGTTTTGGGGGATAATTTCTATAACCTTCTAACATCAAAACATTGCAGGTTCAAGATATCTATCAAGATTAGCAAGAACAACATATAATCATGCTATAGAAAAGATCAAAACACATATTTCTCCTTTCGGCAACGATGTTCCATCAATTATGCCAAACTGCAAAACACTACTTTTTTCGATAATGTGTAAACTAATAACAATCTAAAGAAAAAATGGCTAGAGTTTCAATATTGAAAGAAAACTATAAAAAGACAGAACGTACAATAAGTTTATAAATAGGAAAATTATCTACGGTTAACCAAGCTAAAGGGCTAAACAAAAAGCACAACATAAAATAGGCCCAAACTAATTTATAATGCTAACAGATAAATGTTTATGGTCTCACTTGAAGAAGAAAACACACATGCACTTTAGTAATTTTCTTAATTTTGTGTGCTAGGCGTTTGAGTGCCCTATTTCATTATCACAGAGTTTGTGCAACCCAAATTGTATAGCGTTGAATTATTTCTTCAAGAAAGTGATTCCAATGTGATTATTGAGATTATCCAAGTTTTCTTTTGACACTATTAACCCTTTCAATCAACTCCAACAATCTAAATTTAGTGACTATCATGACGGAATTCAACAAGTTGGTTGAGCTTGAAGGAAATGGCTTTTAGATATGGCAAAAGAAAATGTACTTCTTCCTTACTACAATGAAGTTGTGTATGTGTTGGAGTATCCCCATGTCGGATATCATGGAAGGTGAACCTCTTGAGGCAACATGAGAGGATGATGAGTACAATGAGTTATCTTAGTATCTAGTTTGATTGTCAAGTTGCCATCTTATTAGAAAGCATGCGTTCATACACAAAAAGGAAGAGATGCCTTTGGTACAAATAGTGATTCATTGGAATCCATCCCGACATAAGAAATGACAAACCTAAGAAAAAGATGTTGCAGAGTCTCGCTTTACAGTCTTGCTTTACAGAGAATATATTGGACGAAGAGATTAAGGGAAAGGTGGTTTTAGACAAACCTAAGTAACACAATGTGTTGGATATGTGGAAAATCCTTTGACTTCAATTATGATTGTCAATTAGCCAAGGCAAGAATGGTTTCGGGAAAACAACTTTGCCAACAAATTTCTTACATATCATATTGATAATGTTGATTTGGCTTTGTGGATTAACAAAAGTGGAACAAGTCATGTATGCAAAAATAAAAAAAAAATGGTTCAAGGCATATGAAGATATGTCATAACAAGTGAAATACTTTATCTCTCTCATTCTTGGTGAAGGATTAGTGGTATTAGAGTTTAGCCTTGAAAAAAAAAAATCTTGATCTTTGCTACGTACATGTGTCAACGATTAGGAAAGATTTAGCTTTTGGAAGTTTGTTGAACAAATGTGGTTATAAACAAGGGATTTAATCTAATACATATGTATATCATCTAAGTGTGGTTTATTTGAGGAATTTGGATATTTAAGTAGTAGCGCGGTTATACCAAATTATAGTAATAATCTTTATACATGCTTCAATTTATATGACAAATCCTAATATTGTTGAGCCTTTTCTTTGGCATGTTCGTTTATAACATGTTTATTATAAGCACTTGTTTGAAATGCCTAAAAGTAATTTTATTCTAGCTTTTGACACTAATTGGAAAGTACAAAAAAT